ATGATGGGAGTGGTAGCCTTCAGAGGGAAAAGAAAATGTTTAGTTCAATCTTCAAGATACTTTCTGGAAGAGAAAATGAAAAAGAAATAATTCCAGAAATCTACAAATTTCTTCCCTTGGAAAACATTTTCATCAAATAGTTTTGTTTCTAAGATTCACTGCTATGGCAGTTGGAAGGGTAGAAGGGGTACCACAACAGACTGTTTCTCTGCATTTCCACAACTGGCAAAGTTGTGGCTAAACGGAGCGTGCCTTTCTGTCATTTTGCTTAAGTGCTTTTGGCATCTACTGAGCAAAGCTATACACTTCTAATCTTTTTAATTTTGATTGATCTTTTCAATCCTGAAGTAGAAAATAGGATGCATTTTCAATGTAACATTTAAATTAAAATATGAAATGGTGTTTTGTAGTTGTTGTATCCATTATTTGGTTTGGTGGGTTAACCTTGGCCAGCTGCCAGACACCCACCCACCTGCTCCCTCTCCTACAGGACAGGGGAAGAAAATAAGGTGAAAACGCTCATGGGTCAAGATAAAGACAGGGATATCACTTACCCATTACCATCATGGGCAAAGCAGACTTGACTTGGGGAAAAATTAATTTCATTTATTACTAAGTAAAATAGAATTGTATAGTGAGAATCAGAGAAAAAAATTAGAACAACATGTTTCCCCGCCCCCATTTTCCCAGGTCCAATTTCACTCCCAACTCCTCTCCCTGCCCTCTCCCTGTGCCCCCCCCCACCCCAACAGTGCTGGGGATGGCTAACAGGGTTGTGGTCAGTCTGAAACAGTTCCTCTCTGCTGCTCCTTCTTCCTCACACTTTCCCCTGCTCCAACCTGGGCCCTTCCTGTGGTCCTTCAGGAGAATCTGGTCCAGCAGGGGGTCCTCCATAGGCTGCAGTGTGGATATTTGCTCCAGCTTGGTCTCTCCATGGGGCCGCAGGGGAGAGTCTGCCCCAGCAGTTGGAGCACTCTCTCCCCTCCTCCTCTGACCCTGGTGCTCACAAGGCTGTTTCTCACTTTTCCTCTCACTCCTCACTGCGTGTGGTGTTTTTTTGCCCTTCCTTATATGCACTTTCAAGGAGGCGCCATCACCTTCGCTGAGGGGCTCAGCTGTGCCCTGTGGTGGGGCCATTGCGGAGCCGGTTGGAACCGGCTGTGACGGGCACGGGGCAGCCCAGCCTCTCCTCAGAGAGCTCAGCCCTCCAGCCCCCGCTGCCAGCACCTGGGCACGGACACCCACTACAATTGGTAAAGAAAAAAGAACACAAAGCACTTTTTTTGTTTTAAATCCTGACTACTGTAGCCTGATCATAGTTATCCTTTCTTTCTTTTTTCTTTCACTCTTTCATTTCTGGCTATATAGAAAACCATTGTTTGGACTTAGGGGAGTGTTTGGAGGTGTGTGTGTGTACATACATACTTGCCATTCCTTTTATCACAGGATGTTATGGAGACTAAGACAAGAGTGCGAGGCTGAATATGCGATTTCCAAGACCACCCATGGGATGTCTGGATGGATGGGTTATAATGCGCTGGTGCTGGGTTAGGGTTCAGGCTGGGAGCACAGCCTGTAAATAATGCATGCCCTGCACCAGCTGGGTTCAAAGTCCCCATCTCAAACTCTTTGGTGTTACGGTATTAAGTCTTTGGTTCATATTGGAAGCCCTTGGTGCACCTTGTCCCATAGGCTGGCTAATGGGTACCCATATTGCCTGTCCCCCTTTTACCAGTGTTTTCAGAGTAGCTGAACTGTGATTGAAGAGGGCCTGCAGAACTGAAAGCTTGTCTGCCAGTTTAGTTTCTTCCCGTATGTTCACAGGGCCTTGTACTTAGGCAGGGACTCTACTTGCTGTAGCAACTTTGTCCTGGTTTCGGCTGGGATAGAGTTGATTTTCTGCCTAGTAGCTGGTACAGTGCTGTGTTTTGGATTTAGCATGAGAATAATGTGATAACACACCGATGTTTTAGTTGTTGCTAAGCAGTGTTTATACTAAGTCAAGGACTTTTCAGCTTCCCATACTCTGCTAGCAAGGAGGTGCACAAGAAGCTGGGAGGGAGTATAGCCAGGACAGCTGACCCAAACTGGCCAAAGGAATATTGTATACCCTATGATGTCATGCTCAGTATATAAGCTGGGGGCAGTTGGCCAGGGGCCAGCGATTGCTGCTCAGGGACTGACTGGGTGTTAGTCGGCGGATGGTGAGCGGTTGCATCACCTCTTGGTCCTTTGGGTTTGGTTTTTTTTTTCCTTCCTGGGTTTTGTTCCTCTCTCTCTCTTTTGTTGTTTTCCTTTTCACTTTATTTCATGTATTAAACTGTTCTTATCTCAACCCATGAGTTTTCTTACTTTTGCTCTTCCGATTCTCTCCCCCATCCCACTGGGGGGTGGAGGATGAGCGAGCGGCTGGGTGGGGCTTAGTTGCCAACTGGGGTTAAACCACAGCAAACTTTTACCAGATTCACCCACATTTAGAAGACACTACTGAATTAGAAAATTAGGCTTTCTAAGCTGCATTAAAGATACATGCTTTTCCAAAATGTTAGCAGAAACATTTAAGAAATGTTTGTTTGCTCATGCAGATGCACACATTCTGAAATCCAAACACTGAAAATGAAAATTACTCTTAAAAATGTTAACAGGTCACATTATCGCATCCAGCCCAAATACCAGAAAGAAATACACATGTGCATAGTCACACATGCTGTGTGTTTTATTGTTTCTGTATGAATAATGCAGGATATTGCTTAAAGAAAAATATTTATAAAGGCATTGTTGGGCTTGACGAACCTGGAGAAAATGTCTGCTACATGAAGATGGACAGCCAGCTGTGCCTGTGTTCATTTTGAGCACTACATGTCTAGGAGGCTGGGTACTGTGGAAGGGTCTGTACATTGCAAGGTTGCGCACTTACACTCTGCGGCAAATATACTGGGCTGGAAAGTGAGTGATGCATTGGGGATTGTAAACCAAGGCAGAGTGAAGTTGCTTAGCACTGAGTGCAGGGTGGTAATTTGGTGCTTTTCCATCTCCCAAGGAAGCAGGCAAGGGAAGTCCTGGTTTGCACCCGGTGCCACATCTCCCATTGACTCCAAGCTGCTTTGCACTGAGCCCTAAATTGGGAAAGATCTCTTCAGGTCCAGAGGAGAATGAACTGACTAATGTTTTTAGTAACTGTTATGAAGGTTAAAACATAAATAACAAAAATGTTGTAATTAAAAACAAACAAAACCAAACCCACAAAAAACCTCAAACTAATCCTCTGTCCAAAAGATTTCCTAACCAAGGAGCTGTTCCAGTTCCAAACAGGGGCAGTCATGTTGCTGAGCACCACTTATGTGCTGAGCCACTGTCCCTTTAAAGTGTAATGCTGTTTTTCCAAGAGAGGAGGAAAACTCCTCTCCTCTTGCGAAAGTGATCCCAGCCTTCTCCTTTTGCTCATTAAAGTTGGTTTGCTGATTTATCTCCTTCCTCCCACACTACTTAATGTTAATGCAAAAGATGTGGGGTGGTCATCAACTTCTAGCTGATGGTGGTGTGTTCCTTTTTGCTGCCTCCCACTTTTCTTCTGCAGACAGAATTGACCCCACCAGCTGCTACGTTTGTCAGAGACATTCTTTCTTATATTTCTTTGCCTCTGGGGCTCAAAAACACGAGAGTGGTGAAGCTGGAGTATGAAAGAACAAATGAATGGCTGAGTTACAGGGTGAGCAGCTGTAGGACATTTAGAGAGGCTAAGGAAATAAAAAAGAAACCTGCTGAGACTGTCTCCCGAGACAACCAAAAATATATCTATTATTCCTATGGTGCTGTTAGGTGTGATTTACCATTGGGGAAACTGAGCATTCCTCAGAATTCAGGAAATTAAAAAAAATAACTTGGGTATGGTCCCGAGGACTCCCAAACACCTTTGAAATTAAAAGTCTATGTTTGGTTATATATGTAATGCATCTACCTAATTAAAAAAAAAAAAAAAGCTTGGATTTAGTTTCCAGTCTCCTTTCAGTGTGTAAACTTTTTATTTCAAAACAAAGATTTAAACTGTCTCTAGCAGTTGGATCCTGCTGTGTTTAGTATTACCCCTGCTGTGTGTGTTCAGATCTAGATAAGACATCTAACAGAGGTCCTGACCTCTTACGGTCTTTAAAATTCCCAGAACCCGTTTTGAAAGCATAATTTTTATTTCCTGTTCATTAAATGCAGTCACTGCACAAACAGAGAAAACATCCTGCTTGACCCATGCAGCTGACGGCTGAAGCAAGTGGCCCAAGTAGTGTGATTTCAATACTGGGGATTAACTCATGTTAAGTTCAGTGTAGCTGGGATCTAAGTCTCCCTTCCACCTATCTGTAATTTGAAGGGGACCTGGCACATTTTCACGCCCTCACTGGAGAAGGTTGCTGAATTTAATCCTGGTCTCTTTTCCATACTTCGTTGTTTTTGAACATCTCTCTCAGTCAGGGCAGATACAGTCCCAAATAGAGAAGATTGAAAAAAAAAAAACCAACTCCCAAAATCCCCCAGAGTAAAGCCTAATAAATGTCATTTGTTAGCACTTTACAGTTGTTTGGCACTGTTAAGGCTTGTATCAAGTGTAATGCAGGGTGCAATTGGCTTTATGTTGTGAATGGACCCCCACTATTCTTCTTGTCGCCCCGGGGGGACATTTATCACAAGTGAGAGAGCAATTACAGTGCAGTTAAACTCACTGTAGTAAATCTTGGTTTTTAAAAAAAGAGCTAACTTTGTTGTTGCAGGTTTGGCTGCATGTCATTAGTTTTGCAGCCCTTGTGCAGTCTGCTATATGGCCTAGTATGGAGACCCAGTGCCGCTGCCTCCTTTAATTATAGATTGTGCTTATTTATAATGTATGACCAATTTTAATAAAAAGATATGCTTTAATATTAATGGTCCTTTGTGTCCTACATATGGGACCCAGTTTAAGGATCTTTATCTCTGTTTTTCCCTCTGTCCCCTGCCACCCCTTTCTACTGCAGCGAACCTGCATCCAGGAGCTGAACAGAAAGTGGTGTTCATCACTGCACGAGTCCACCCTGGGGAAACACCATCTTCCTTTGTGTGCCAAGGTGAGTGTCTGCATGAAGATGGCAGATCTGATGAGATCTGATTTCCTATCAATGCGGGTATTGGGTTTGCATAGCTTTGGGTCTGATAGAAGGCTGAGTTCACACAAGTTTTTTCCACAGTGAGGATATTAGCAGAATCTCTCACCTCTACCCAGCTGCCTGTCCTCTTGGAGGCAGTAGAAATATCTTACCTGTGAGTCTTGTGAATGTTTGCTGAACTTGGTCAGAATTGGACAATGAAGCTATTCAAGAAGAATTGACGGTCACGCTCATACATATGCAATGTGATCATGCAAGGCTCCTTTTCTTAGGAAAATAGGCTGGAAAAGCTCTGGGAGTGGTTCTCTGTTAAGTGCTTATGTTTTCTTGCTGTCTACTATTCTCAGCTTCTTTTCCACCACAAAGCAATGACCCTAGTTCTCCAGTTTAATTCTAAGAGGCCTCTATTTGTCTGAAGCTGCTGCTCTGAGGAGCACAGCTCCCAGTGGCTGACAGCTGTTCCCTGCACAAAGCATTCCTGCTAAAAATAGAAAGCAAATTGCCCAGCTTGTATTTATAAAGAGTTGTAAATCTCAGGCTTGTGGGTACAAATAAATAAATAATCCTGGCATGTGTTCATATAACTTCATTGTATAGGTCTGAAATATTGTACTTACGGTATGTGACTTTCTGTGGTGGTGAATTGTTGATGGTGTAAATCAACGTAATTTCCCTGAAGCCAAGGCAATATGCTAATTTACTACATCAGCTTGGATCTGGCCCTGCCTAGCCAATGAGTTGCATCAATCAAGCATATGCAGAGTTTATTACGTTGGCTGCTTGTAATGCCGCAGATTGGTTTGCGACTGGCCCTGTTGGTACCCAAAGACCTCGGTGGGAAAGGTCTGGCACAGTTTCATGGTCTTCTCTGTGTGCTCCTCATCCTGGCAAGGTCCTGTGTCTGGTATCTCTCTAAGGCAAAAGGTCAACAGCTGTCACTTCTGCTGTCCTAGCCCGATGGGCTGACAGGACACTGGGCCTCTCCCTGCTGGCCCGTGGAGTAGCAAAGGTTCCTTTAATAAAATGGTGCTTCAGACTGAGAGCAGGAAGACTCAGCGAGTTTCCCATCTCCTGTGGTGGCATAGTGAATGCAGAGCATTATAGTACACATGATGTTTGTTAATGAATATGGATTTTTAATTGGATGCTTTGATTCTGTTTGTGGCTGCTGGCATAGCCCTGTGAAATGAGGGCTGAGGCATGCTGCTGAGGTGGTACTTTGTAAATGACGGTAATTTTATTTTGATAATGGAGAGTTTATTCAAAAGGGAAAAAAAAAGGGAATGTGAAAAAGCGGGTGGCACACTTAGCCTGATGAAACAACTGGATGGAAGTCATGCTCTAATTGTCTCAGAGAAACTTCATGTTTTGTAGGAAAAATTAAAACAGAGAGGAGGGGAAAATAAGAAAAGAGAAGGGTCAGTCTTGGAGAAGCACATCAGAAACTTGCTGTGACTGCAGTTATAATGCACGCTTGACTCGCTTGGAAATGCAAGGATCTGAAGGCACTGAACTCCACTGTGCATTGAGCCATTCTGCCCAGTGCAGATGAAGCTGCCTTGTGTGTATAATTAGTGTCAAGACAAGTAGAAATGGCAAACATTTCAAGGCCATTGCCACGTTGTTTCTAGCATTGCCAAATGTGAAATTGGGTGCTTGCTCCATCTTTGGAAACTTTTGTGTGGGAGGGTCAAAAGAAGGGATAAAACGGATCCCTTTGGCAGTCAAGCGAGGGCACAATGAGGAATTTTATTTCTGGAGTCTTGGGAAGCATTTGGGCAGAGTTAGGTGTTGCAGATTTAATATCCAAATGCCAGCCCAGTGCATATGGAACATGTCAGGATTTTTTTTTTTTTGGTAGACAGATTTTTTTCTTGAATGTTTGATTATGCTCACCACCTGAAGTATTAAGATATGGAAGCTAATCCCAAAGATTCCCCAGGTGCAAGCAGCATCTCGTATATAGAAGAGCAGAATTGTGACTGCCAAGGCCTGGAGAATCAGCTCATAGGGGAATAGATAACAGAGTTACAAGCTTTCTTTTTTTGTCCTTCATTTTTTTCTTGGGTTTCATTCAGTTCAGGCTCTGCCTTCCTCTTTAAAGCTCTAAGCTCGTAACTAACTCCTTACTCATCTTTCTACCTGTCTTTGAGCTAGCCAAGTCTCTTCCTGCCATCTTTGGCCTGCTCTCTGCTAAGGATATATAGCTATGTGTAGTCCAAACACTAGCTTCCTGGGGCCTGACAGAAGCTCCCTATTACATCTTCCATTTTTTGATTAGGCAAGATACCCTGATGAGAAGCAAGTTGTCTAGCCTTGACACATCATGATATACTTGGTCCTGTGTCCTTCACTTTACCCACAGATTAAATCTAAGCAAGGATCTTTGCATTCCTGTGGGAAAAGACCATAAGGTCATCTCCCCATTCAGAGCTGTATTGTTTCTGTGTCATCCTTCTTCATATTCCATTATGAAGAATCCACTGAAAACTGAATTTTGCATACAGATACCCCGTATTCCTACAGATGTACAAGTATTGTAAGCTTGGATACACACCTCTGTCTCCTTACAGCTGTGGACTGCTTGCAGCAGTAGCCAGACCTCCCTAGAATCATTAGACACCTCATCCAGCAGTTAAAAACAAGTGCTGTAATATTTCACACATTGTGCAGCTGCTGAGCTGTAGCTCACTTCCTTAAAAGGCAGACAAAACCCCAGAGGGCCTCTTCGTAGAAAGATGGATTAAGAACCTTTTGTTTCTGTTTTGGCATTTTAAGAGTTATTAAAAAGGTTAGCCTTTTTAGGAAGATTTCCTGATAATTCTTAACTGCTTGTTGTGAAGTTCAGGGACAGAGATGGAGAGCTAGTCACCAGAGAGTATATTTGCATGAGTACCCTTTACATCCAAAGGTAGGACAATGCTCTCTTCCTCAGACTGTGATGGTCATTATGAGCATTGATGCTTGTGTCATGTTTGGGGATGAGTAAGTAGGAGTAGGGTTTACGATGAAGAGGACTCTTGTTTTCACTTTGTTTTTATAGACCGTTTTCTAACCAACTGGAATCACTGCTGCTCCTGGAGGGCTTTTATAGTGCAACACAAAAGAGCGTGAATTCTTCTTACAGCTTGAACTCATCTCTCATGGGCTGTTCAGATTTCTGAGGGATTTTTCTGAAGTTGTGGTTTTAGATTCTTTTCCTTTCTTAGATATTTTTCCTCATTTTCCTCCCCCCCAGTATTTTTAGTTAAGAAAACGTATGCTATTTTCTGTCTTCCACATTACATTGTTAAGGCAAGTAAATTATTAACTCTTACAGGTAGGGTCAGATATCAGATAATGCCTATATGTAGTGTGCACAAATATGCGTGTGTAAAATCTGTACAAGTCCCTACCCTTTAAACACAGGTGATAAGCCAGCTTTCCAAAGGCTTGGATTTTATCCAAGATCTGGCAATAGGAGTATTTTTTCCCCAGTATTCTTACAGTCTTATTTTCCTTCCTTTGGCTGCTAGGTTTTATGGAAGCACAGAAAGTTGTAGGAGACATGGGGTGACTACCATGTTTAAGTTTGTCCTGTATGCTTTGGCTTTTGCCAGCAGTCAGTAATTGCAAGCTTAAGCATGTCTAGATGTACTTAGACATGGACTTTCCTCATAGACTTAATATGTTCCATTAGTAGGATGTTGTTTGTCGTCTTTTTAACACATTTGCCAGTGTGGCATCCACCATAGTCATCTAAATGCAAAAATGAAAATTTGTACCCAAATTGTTTTACTTTAATATAGTTTGCCAGGCTGGGAGCCCAGAATGGAAGACCCAGTGCAAGAGGGGAGGGAGAGGGATCCCACAGCTGGGTTTGCAGATGCTGAGTGTCTTGTGCTAAGTGTAATTTGACCTGAAGCTGACCTTGAAGCTTATGGGCTGAATAGGGAACGGCCATTAAAAAGAAAATATAAGGAAAACAGACACCTGGGACTCTTATCCATAAGAAATGGAGCAAAAATGGCTTTTCAATCAATCTTTTTCATTACAGCTGCTTAAATGAATGCTCCCTCTCGCTTCACCTTAAATCAGATGATATGAAATGAAAAACCAGACTACACTGGGCAATGTCTCTTGGTTTTCTGTTAGCATTCTTGGTCTGTGTTTTTAACAGCCACCCTCTTGCTGGCAGAGGACAGGAAAAAATCTGAAAACTTTTGTACAAATTTTGATTCTAAGTTTAAGGAATGGGGTAGAAGAGGACAGACTGCTTGAAAACGAGTCTCCCACCAGCTGTCTCAGGAATCCTGCTGTTGCACAATAGCTCACTGGGCCAGTGGGACTGTTCTCTATGTGGCCAAGGTGCTCCACATGCTATGAAGGATTTTATTCCCGGACAGATTCCAAGATGGCCTCTTAAAAGTGGTGGCAGTTTTCTAGTTCACTTCATGGAGGCAGTGCCTTCAAAATCTTTGAATTTGGTCCTGCAGGATCCCTGAAGGAGTTAGTAAGAGTGAAGTCGCTACATGAGTGGGACTTGGTTTTTGGTTTTGGGGTTTTTTTTTGCTTGTGAGAAAGGCAGTTGTATGTGTGAGAAGAGTCATTTTGAAACTTGTTGCTCCTACTTGGAATTTTAGCCAACCTTTGTCTTTTATTATGAAGAAAGAGGAGGAATAAACTGTTGGGGTTAAAAGCTGCTTTTCTGTTTCCTTCACTAAGCATAAATCTTCTGAGCATTAGGGCATAAGTGATAGTAACTGAAAGACAGGACAGGGCATGTTTTAAATGCAAGAGTAAATGCAGCTAATGAAGCCTTTACCTGTGAAAAGAACCTTTCTGAAGTAACAGAGGTGATGACCTTTCTTAGCTGTTTCCAGGGGATAAATTTCTCCTAAAGAAATTAAACTAAGTTCTGTGCGCATTGGTATAGGATGCTTTTGGTAACAGCAGCTGTACTGGAGAAAAACACTGAACCC